CTAATGAACATACACCAAAAAAGGGTGATTAACGTCGGGACCCCAGTCAATAAAAATAAACAAGTTAAGTTATTAAGTACCAGATCTAGCTAAAATAAAACTCATAAACATATGTTTTCTAAATTTCTTGGATAATAATATAAATTATTCGCTAGGAAAAAAATATATAGAATACATACGACGTACGGTGGTGATGTTCTGAGTAGCATTCACGTCGAAATTCAATGTAATTAGTAAATATATATGCAGCACTTTTTTTAAAAAATACCAACCCATTTTTCATAAAGAAATTTCAAACTACCTTATTAATCCATATGAATTCACTGGAGAAATCGATGAACGTTGAGGTAAATGAGAATACTATAACAAAATAATAATAATAGGAAATAAATAACGATAAAAATAATCGATCTGTCAATAAATATATATATATATGATTTCCTGCAATATATTATGCGGTATTCTCGTAAACAATATTCCTTTGGACTAGTAAAATAAAAAATGAACCAACCGAAATAATTGCAGGATCTGTAAAAGGTGACTTTGATAAGAGGCCAGAGGAATATAATTGACTTTGAATTGTTTCATATTTTGTAGAATTATTTGTAGCAGAGATGGAGTTTGTTGAAGGTAGTTTAACAGGTTCCAGGTTTTTTGCATTATTATAAGGAGGTTGCACTTGTCGCTGCTGTTGAGAGGTATTTGACTGGTTTAATTGATTCGAAGCAATTATTTGGAGATCTTTAATTTCAGTGCCAGCTACCCCATATATAGCGAGTTGTTGGAAGCGACCGTTGTTGTAAAGCTTTACTGTTATTAATTTAAATCCAAAGTGTTTATAGAAAGTATGTAAGGAATCGTTACAATATTAATAAAAAAACGACTTATATAATACAAACCATTTTTAAGAGTTAACAGTTGTGTGTGAGAATCGATATGAGACACAGTTCCTTCCAATGAGGAACCAGTACTAAGTTCAACGTGCACACTCAGGCCAATGAAAGCCTCCGCCATAATATGCTTGAGTTATTCTTGCTGTAAATGCTTTCAAACTATACTTATTTACGATAATTTAAAGTTGTAATTTATAAAATTGAAATGAAGGCGACAGAAACTGGTCCAAATGAAGATCAAATGATTGAAAATGCTGGTAGAGGAGCTTCTATGATGTGCCTTCAAGCGCTCGGTATGTGATACGCATCCTTTTGAATATTAAATTACACTATTTTTGATACTAACTTATTAAAATATGTTTACTATCTTGACAAAAAGGTGGTTCGCGGCGTATACAACCACATAACCATAATGCAGCACCATTAGTAGTGATACTTGCCGGTAATAATAAAACTGGTGCATATGGTCTTGCTACCGCACGACATTTAGCAAATCATGGGTGTCATGTAATCGCATGTGTTGTCGGAAAAGACAAAGACTTACTCAAAGTAAAATAAATCTGTGCAATGTTGATTCGCCAATTTAACCCGTTTTTATTCTTGACCAATACATTTTGCAATATAATTTGAATAATAGAGTGTTTCCTATCAACAAAAGATTCTATATCCAACCGGTGGAAGGTCTGTTAAAACTGTGGCAGGTGAGTAACGTCAAATTCAACTTTAATTTAGCTGCAGATTATATGAATTTAATTACGCATACTATATGCAAAATTCACAAATTCATTTGTGGAACCGCACATTCATTTCAGATTTTAGTTGCGAAAACTTATAAATCGTTTGCGGTCCGCAACCCAATGATCTAAACGTTTAGTTAATAAATTTATTAATCTTCTGTCTTTATCTAGAACTACCGCAGCAATTCACCAATCCTGTTGATCTCATTGTTGACGCCCTACTAGGATATCAATTCACTTTACGAGATATAGCAGATGAACATGAAAAACTCTTGATATGCGAATTGATTGATTGGGCCAACGCTAATAAAGCACCCATTCTAAGTTTAGATATGCCAAGTGGAGTGAACGGAAATACAGGTAACTAGAAGAACTTTGTATACAGCATCTTAATATAAAAATTGCTTAGAAATTCGTAACACATTATTAAGGTAATCCTAGTAATCCCGCTCACTGTATTCATCCAAAATGGACGTTATGTCTCGGGGCGCCTAAGAGTGGGTGTAAATCTCGTGCTGTTACTGGAGAGCTATTTTTAACTGATATCGGTATTCCACGAGTTTGTTGGAAAAGAATCGGAGTTAAAGGATGGGGTATGCCTTGGGGTAGTGAGTATTTAATTGGATTGGAATACGCCACGTAAATAATGATTGTAGTCGATTAAAAACTTTTAAGCTTAGCAGAGCCGATAATTTTGATACGGCTAAGCCGGCTTAGTCGGTTATTATCTTAAAAAAAATTAAATAATTAAATTCACCAATAATAAATACAATCCGAAAATTCATGTTGGCCACGCTCATTTTTTGTTATTTTACGTAAATAATGATAAACGTTGCTGTGCAACATTTCCAAAGTAAAAAAAGTCGTTATTCTCTATTACGTCATAATGGCGGCGCACTACTATTGCCACTTCAACCTGAGGAAAGTACAGCGAACTCTCTAAGTGCCAATGTACTGTGCATTTAGAGAATACAGCACTTAGGTAAGTTATATTCTGTGATGTAACTTACGGCGCAGCCATTATATATAGAGATGTAAAACGGCTCTACCGGCTTGATACTGTAATAACAATCGATTACCGTAAAAATCGAACGTATATACTCGTGGCGGTGTTGTACATTTGCTCATGATTCTGATGATTTTGATTGGCTAAATATGTCACAATCCACTTATCAAAATCTATAAAAATGCCACTATTATACAAAATCTATTTAAACTGCGAATCTTACAAATATATTTTTTTATACTGTACGTACCTAGCATACTATAGTAACATGTTAGGAGTGGCATGTCTATCATTAGTACGCTACGTAGTTATTCTATGTTTATGACTAAAATCGAAAGCATAATAAAATTTTTGGTTATACGCCCAGGGGCTAAGGGTAAGCATCTCTTTTAATGTAATTAGCTATCTATAGAGATCTTGCACAAGTACTACGATTAATTGAAGTAAACACGGTAATTTTGTCGAAGATTCATGTTGCGAAATGCGGATATTAAATTTTAGCCAAT